AATCAAGGAAATAATATTTTTTTCAAAATTATTAAAAATTGAAGCTTGATAAATCGATAATAGACCATTATCATTATTTAAACTATTTGTAGCATGGCTATTGCTGCCACCATTATTATTAGCATTATTAGCATTATTGGAATTGTTGTTCGTGTTCGTATTCATAAAATGAGAATTGTTGCTGTTGTTGCCTACAATTCTTGTGGCAATATTAAGCGCATCTTCAACTTTTCCAGTCATTTTCATTCCTATAACTTGTAATGCCAATTCCATTAACGCACGATCTGTATCTACTGTTATTTATATAATGATAAAATAATAATAATAATTACTATCAAGAAACAAATATCAAATAAATGTATAAAAAAATAATGATGATTACCATTAGTATAATTGAAAATAATAAGGTCTTGATTAGAATGTTCTTTAAAAGTAACAGCCACTGGTCCGGGGGTTGGTGAAGGTGGAAGATAACAAACTAAAGCATTTGGAGACCAAAATTGCGTTTGAAAAGCAGGTGTCTCACCAAAAACGCAGGTCAAACCATCTAATAGATATAATATATTAAATATATTAAATATATATATATATACATTCATAGATAGATACACACATAAATCTGTGAGACAGACCATAAAAATTACTTCCTAAAACAGTTACTTCAATTCCACCATGTACAGGACCTTCCGAAGGAATTAATTTGTTCATCCTTGGTATTTGGAATTCAGCTATTGTACCATTCTGGTTTATGGAAGCCGAGGCACTAGTTAAGTTCCCATTTGAGTTATAGAAAGGTCTTGAATTATTAGGAATACGTGAACTGTGAAATCTTATTGAATCAGCATCATTTCCTGTGTTTGTATTGTTAATGTTAAATCTCGTGGAACCACATCCAAAATTTTGTAGTAATTGTGTTGGATCATAAATAGAATTAGAACTGTTTATTGATGCTAGATTAATAATGTTTAAATTTTCATTGTTTATTGAAGGAGCAAAGTTATATTGAGAAGCAGATGTTTCCATAATAGAAGGTTGATCAAATTGTTGATGAATGTGCAATTGGTGAGGATATTGTTGTTGGTGATTTTGATGGTATTGATGAAATGATAATACACTGGCATTATTTGAAAGACTAGATAGACTTTGTGGAACATGAGGAATGGGTGAAAAAATTAAATTGGATGTGGTTTCTAGAGGAGGAGTTTGTTGTTTTTTTATATTGTTTTTTGATAATTCGGGAGATGGAGATAAAGACGACAGATTGTCTTTTGAGTCATCATTTGGAATAACGTTTAATAGTGAAGAATCTGGTTGAGTTTCAATCGGCGAAATGCTCATCATTAAATTATTATGACTGTTGTTGCTATTCCCATAAATACTGCTAGAAGAAGATGAGGTTGTGGTAGGAGAAGGAAGAGGAGGGGAAGGTGTGTGACGTTGTCTATCATTTAATTTTTTTTTAGATGAATTATTTGAATCAACAATATTACAACGACCATGCTTAGTTCTTAAACGTTTTTTTGCTATTCCATTCTTTGTTTTAGATGATTTATGATCATCAGTTATCATGATAGGAGGTGACATTCCTGTTGCAATAACATCATTTGTATGATCTTTTATTCTAAAACAAATGCTATTTTATTTTATTATAATAATGACATTGTTAATATTATAATTTTAAAAAAATAAAAATAAAAAAATATAATAATAAATTTTTTATTACCGGAATCCAACTTTTTCATTATGATGTCTACAATAACAAGTTATTCTTGTTGGTAAAATAATATCGCCACTGTTGAAGTCAACAATTTCATTACAATTAAATAAAAGAATTTTATTTTGTTCCAATTGCATCATTTTTTCATCATCTAAATCCATAGATTTACTATTGTCATTTGTTGATGGTTGTGGTTGTTGCATGAGATTTGAATTAGTGGCATTGCTATTATTATTATTATTTTTCTTATTTTCTTTTTTACGTTGTGAACGCTTTCTCTATTAAACAAGTTGATTGATTAATTAGTATAATCTAATTAATAATCTAATAAATATATACATAATAATGGTTTACCTCACGTTGAACACAACCAAGACAAGTAAGAACTTTTTTTGTTGTATCACTTGCACAGACAACAGACGCTTCTAGATTTAATTTATGATTATGATTTCCAAGATTCGGGCGTATCGATGTCACAAACATCGTCAAATGAAACAATTGATGATTCTGATGATGATTTTGATAATGATTATGATGATAATTTCTATGACCATGAATCTCAATCTTCAATTAATAGGGGCTATTCAAATGAAAATGATTTAAGATCATTATCATCGCTATCATCATCATTATCATCATCATCGTTATCATCATTATCATTATCCAATATCGATCAAAACTCTTCTTTAACAAATGATTTAGAAGCTTTGCCAATTTCGTGGGTAGAATCTGAAACTGCTGCAAGTTTATCAAACAATAATGATAATGATGAAGAAGAAGAGGGAATCGTCGATGCAGAAGTGGTTAGTGTGAAAAATGAAAAACAACATTTTTCAGAAATGGCTACGGATTTAGCGTCTGCATCAACTGTTTGGCTACAAAAAACTTTTGCTCACCTGCATATGCCAAATATAAGCAAACCCTCCCAAATAAATATTCATTTACCAAACATCAAAATGCCAAATCTACAAATGCCAAATCTTAACAACTTCTCTTCACCAAAATTTTCAACAATGAATTTTAGTAAAAATATATCAATCCCACGACCATCTATGCCATCAATGCCATCTTTGAATGTCAACTTAGAATTTCCAACCGTTACTTTTCAAACCTTTATTCCGCCTAGTTTTGTTGGAGGTTTCACTAGAAATTATGAAAAGAGTATAGAAACTACACTCGATGGTGATGCTAGTGGTAGTGGAAGTTGTAAAAGGCTGGTTAATGATACTAAAGATATTGATTCTAATTTCTGGAATAATGCAAGTAACATATGGAATAGACCAGAAGGTAATTCACAACAACCATCATCGCCAAAATGTATTGGACAAGATATTACAGGATTTTCAAGAATTGCCAATATGTTGCCAATAAATTTTACCCATAACCCAGAGGAGGATCATCCAACTTCTACTCACATCAGTATTTATCGTAAGTTTGGTTATGAACCTAATAATTTAAATGAAGATCAACTTGCACGCCTAGATTATCATAGCCAAAAAGTCAAAAAATTAAAACAAGATAAAATGCTATACTTATTTTGGGTGCCAGTTCTATTTGGTTTGTATTATTTTTTTTTTTTTTTAATTTCTTGTAATAATTTTACTTTATACCTATAAAATTAACATTTTTTTTTATTTTGTCATATAGTAATGATTGCTTGTGCAATTATTAATTACGGTTCTTTTACTATTTTTGCAAAATAATGAATGGCGATGATGATGTTTATTTGATTTAGAATTAATTTTTATAAATATATTGTATTTTTATCAAATATCAAGTTTTATTTTTGTTATGTAATTTATATTCTTTTTTTTTTTAAACAATATATGTTAATACTAAATAAGTTCAATGCCATACACTTATAGATAGATCTATAAAAATTTATTCATGAATTTGATAAAAAATAAAAATTTTGTAATTTTATGATATTTTTTATATTTTTTATTATTTTTATTTTTGATCTTCAATTTTATTTCTCCAATAGCTACCAACTACCGGAACATTCGATAATATTTCTCTACGAATTCTGGGAATTGTTTCAGTAAAAAGTAGTGCAGTGATTCCAAATGTAGTCCAAAATCCAATTGCTGTCGGTGTCCTATAATAATCTTATTATTATTATTATTATTAATTAAAATTGATATACTATCTAGTATTCATTACAGCCTCGGTATATTTTCATACTAGATTTGTTGGATCACCTTATGTTAATAATTTCCAAAATTATTTTTCATTTGTTTTTATGATCATTAGTTTTATTTTTCTTGGATTAGCTTTATATACTCATGGAAAGGTAGTTATAAAAAATTTCGTGAGTGATGATAATGGCGAATAGATACTAACATACAAAATATATTTAATAGTCAAATATACCATTTAGAATAATAACATCATTAACAGTTTCAGTGATTAGTCTTTTATTATTATCATTATCAACAAAAAACAAGGATTTGGTCTCACCTACAGCATATTTTTATTTTGTTATATTTTTGGTGGGTATATCAGGTGTAACAACTGGTTATTTACAAAATGATACATTTGGAACTGCTGCTCAAATTTCACCTAAATATACTCAGGCTGTTATGAGGTGAATTAATAATAATTATAATAATAATGATATTATAAGAACTGAATCTTAGTGAATATTAATAAAAATGTTATATATTATTTTAGTGGTCAAGGTACTGTTTTTTTATTTGACCACTATATGTTTATAAAAATATCTAGATAAATATCAATAATTATAATTATGAACATTATTAGGATTGGCTGGTTTGGGTGCATCAATTTCACAAATTTTCAGTATTTTGAATTCTAGACAATTAACAAACTATGGTGATGATGATGTGGAATTATCGAATAGTGCATTTATTTATTTTTTAAGTGCATTTATAATTCTCGTAATTTCACTAATCTCATATGTCATATTGACAAAATTACCATTGTTTCTGTATCATCATCAAAATAAAAACATTAATGCTATAATTGAGGAAGAAGAAAGTGAAGAACAGTCTTTACTAAATAAAAATTTATTCAACATCACATTTACAAAAATAATTAGATTAGTATATTCAATAATATTTGTATTCATGATCACATTATCATTGTATCCATCTATCACAACTTCTGTCAAGTCAACAGTAAAAGATGATGAAAGATCAGGTTATCAAAAGGATTATCTATTTATACCACTACACTTCCTGATGTATAATTTTGGTGACTTGTTAGGGAAAAGCTTACCAATAATCAAATTCTTTGCTATTAAAAATATAGATTTGTTGATGTTGATGTCCACATCACGTATCATATTCATACCATTAATATTATTATGTAACACTGATATTGGTGACAAAAGATTATTTCCATTATTGATAACAAATGATTTCTTATATTTCTTTATTATACTTTTATTCTCATTTTCAAATGGTTATTTGGCATCTTTAATTATGATGACAGGTCCACAAATTCAAAATGTTAATAAAGGCTTAGCTGGAATACTTTTAACATTTTGTATGGTTTTTGGTTTAACAATTGGCTCATTATTATCATTTTCTATGAGATCTTTAAGTTGTGGTGGGTGTAATCCTTTCATTAACTAAAATATATTTACATATTTTATATATACTTTTATATTGTATTGTTGAATTTATTGCATGTAATTTTTAATTATTATTATTAAATAAAGGAGCTTATTTCACAAATTTCAATTATTAAAAAAAAAATTTTTCAAAAATAATCGGCTTTCTTTTATTTTTAATTGTCGAAGTTATAGAAAATATAGAACCATAGGATTGTACATACATAATCTCTGAACATTTAGCTACAAGCTGGTATGATTTTTTATATAATTTATTATGTGCGATTTGCAATTATTAAAAAAATCATATCAATTTTTAAGTTAAAAAATTTCAAAGTTTAAAAAAATGGCAATAGTATTTCATATTTTTTTAAATAAAGTAATTGATTATTTTTATGAGGCAATATTTAAAGTGACGCAAGCAGATATTAAAAGGTTGGTAAACCTCTCTTAATTATATATTTTTTTTTGGTGTTGAATTTTTCTCATGTTAATTTTTTTTTGTCCAAGCTCAATTTTTACAATCTTGGTCTGTACAACAATAAAAAAATTGTTGGGGCAGGCTGCGTAAATCAAGTGAGCACTTGGCTAAACTAACTAAACCATTTAGTCATATGTTAAGTCAAGACAATTATTATTAAATTAGGACTTTGACCCTTTACACTACCAGGCATGGACAAGGCAGGTATTCTTCTTGTTTACAAAACAAATCCATTGGTGGATGTAGATAACAATCAATGATAATATTAGAGTGAGTGTATTTAGGCAAAAGACTTGCTAAAATTATCTCATTTCATCAATAATAACCCAACAGGTTACTGGCTCATCTAAGGTTCCGAATGAATCGATGAAATTCGAATCAATATATATCTACTATCTAATGTATAAATAAATTAATCCAATGAATTATGATTTGTTTGATTTAATTCATATTGATATACACTATCTAAATCGGTCCCGTTTACTTCGTCGACAATCACTTCGTCAACAATCACTTCATCAACAATCACTTCATCGACAATCATTTCGTTGAAAGTTTGTTTCGTCGAAAGTTCATTTCGTCAACAATCACTTCATCGACAATAATTTCGTTGAAAGTTCATTTCATCTAAGGTTCATTTTGTCGAAAGTTCATTTTGTCGGCTTATGTATCGTACTAATGATAAATGAGGTGATGATAGTGATGGCAACAGTATTGACATTGAATAT